CATTTTATGATTATTTTAATTAGCCTCATCACTCTTGGCTGGTTTGGCATTTCTCAAGAGAGATGATCTTCAATGATCTACAATGCACTGTTAAAAAATTCCCCGTTGGTGATGAAAATCTGCCCAGAGTCTGGTTAAACCAGATGAAATTAAATATGCTGATTGGTCAGATAGCTAATTATGTGTGGATGAAAAACTATCTGTTATTTTAGTCTAACATTAGACCAGGATACTGGCCCTATGTAAAAACTGTATAATTTGAATTTTTTTATTTTACTTTGACAATATATTAAAAGTCAGCTTGATAGCAAGACCTAGAGGACACAAACAAAAGAAATGAATAAACATGTCATTCAGTTTCCTCACTATCAAGCTAAATTTTAAGATATTGAAAGTGTCCTATTGGGAGACTAAAACATGACTGTTGTAAAATTGAGCAACCTCATGCAAGTCTGCAACACTGCAACTATTGCATAAAAACATTCATTGAATTTGTTTTTGTTGATGTCAGTCTTTTGACACCTTTGAGAACCAGATATGTCATAATTAGTTCTTTCCCCCTTTGTTTTCAAACTTACAAATCACAACTTACAAAGGGATTCCTAATGAGATGAAAACGCGTCCTTAAAATGTTAGTACTCATTACATGGATTAATGTTTCTTTGACAGCAGTGGTAGTTCCAAGTAAAGCAAAAACATTAATAAATTATGTAGTGCAAATTATTAACAGTTATTGCAGTAGCTATCAGTGTGGGATACTTTCTCAGCTGTGAATCACAGGTGTTCTTTTTTGTGAAATGTCAACCTGGCCTAGAGGAATGAGATGCCAGGCTCTTAGCTCTAACAGGCTAGAAATAATGTGGGCATGTTTACATAACCTGATGCGGAAATGAGGGGAGCTACTAGAACGAATTTGAAAGTTTATGAATCCCACATCATGTGGGACATCACATGGGGTTATTTTTATTGACTAATAAATTGTAAGTACTTTCAACTTTCCGAGACGACTTTTTGTTGTTGATTGTTTTCTTGTAAACAAGAAATGACTTTTCAAAGTCATTTAATGTTTAAGTCTAGAAATGAATTAAATGTAATTTGATATCTTAAAAATAGCATTGTGGAAAACAACTCTAGTCTGCATAGCTTATAAGACCATGCAAGGCACTAATTTGTGGATTTACTGTATTCTCTACCTGTATTACATGGACACCTACATGCCTCTCTAGTGTCTGTTTAAAGGGTTAATTAGTAGCTGTATTGCAAAGTGAATTTGTGTGATAAATTGGAGTCATGTCACAATAGCAAAACTTGGCAGGTAAATTGTCATGTGGTTAATATCAGATGAGAAATTAACTAATGTTAGCGAAAAAAAGTTGCATGGCAGTATTTTGAAAGGGTCTTGTTAAAAGAGGGAAAAATTGTATTCAAATGGTATTCATCACAGACTTGAAATGTAATATTTTGTTCTTTCAAGGACCAGCGATGAGTTGAGTGCAGATGTAGAATCTTCAAGAAGAATTGAATATGATGGCCTAAGACGGGTAATTCTATGAGATTACTATCAGTACTCATTTTGAAAAGTTCTAGAAAACGCTATTAACAGTTGTATAAAAGGGAACTTGCTTTCGAAACTCTGAGGCCTTATTTTTTGATCATCACCAAATGAGACAGTACATGTAGCTACAAATTGGCAGTGAATTTGCCAGGATAGCAACTGCCACAGGCTGGCATGAAAAAGAATGCAATGTAGAGATCGGACACATCTGAGGGTGGAGATGATATCGGGAAGAGAAAAATATATAGTGTTCCTTCTTAAAATATCTTTTTGTCTTGCATTGCTTGCTTGGAAATATTGTGTAAGGCCCCAGTTATATGGTGTCAGGTACTCGAGACAACCCTCCCCCAGAGGCAACTTTACCAAGCATTTATATTTGAAAACCTAATCCCTGTAGGTCAAGTGAAAGTTGACCTTGCATGATTATTCATAACCCCTATTGAATAATCAAATGTGTAAATATCCCTCTTTCTTTGAGTTTTCCTCGGTCATTGGATCACAGTGGGTTTTGCTGAGCTAATTTTCACTTTGTTGATACAAATTTCTGCTTTAAATCCTAAACCTAGGCGTTGCGTGACACTCGCCATGACAAGAGTTGTCCCGGTTGGGCAAGCTACAGCATTTATATGAAAAAGTTGTCCCACCTACCAGGGTTACCCTACCTGCCGAGGCGAGACAACTCACCCCCCCAAGATGAGTTCGCAATCTTAATCTAAAAGATTAGTTGAATTTTGCAAAGAACTAAGCTAAAAGTTAACTCAGCCAGGGTGACTCAGACCTAAGTTTTAAGCCAAGGGAAATTTTGAACATTTTTGATGTACTGTCATGAATTACAGTTTTAAAAATTGCAAAAAGAATCTGTAATAATATTATATTTTTGGTTTATTTTGCTATTTTCAAGGGAAACTACAGGAGGAAATGGCTAAAGAAAGTTTCTCTAAAGAATGATGTAAGTGCTCAAATCTTCACTCTAATGTAAAAAGTAAATAAATATATAGTAGATTTGAGGAGAATCAGAAATTTTGTCAAACTGATGCATTAAGTTTAGCCACTGATTATGAAGTTGCCACTCCAACAGCCACTGTTGAAATTGAAGTTTGTGTCATTTACTGTACCAAGATAAACTGCCAAACCAAACTTCTGCAATACTGTATTCATTGTAGGGATCACCACATTTGATTAGGTTCTTTGAACTGGGCTACAATGGCAGCTAAAAGATTATTTTGAGTTTCTGCATGCAAGTGCTATTTTGTAACACCGTCGACTGACAAACACTTTTCAGTTGACTCTGCAGATGACCCCCACTCCTGTTGTTGAATTGTCTCCAATCACCAACGTACAACTTACGGCCCTTTTCAGAACTACCCTCACCCAGACAATCAGACCATATATGAACTGCTATTTTCACTGCGCAAAATCTATGAGAGCCAATGAATTGATTAAACATAACTAGTTACAATTTTTCTTTGTTTGTGCATATATTTGAGGACTTATTATTCTCACAACCAGTTTGCATAAAGCACATCGATATTGTATTTTGTTTCTTAGACATGTGCAATATGCTTGGATGATTTTCAAAACAAGGAGGAAATCAGCATTTGTAGATGTGGACATGCTTATCATCACAAGTGAGTCAATAAAGGTTCTTGATCACACTGTGCAGCTGGTTAATATCATATTCACATTGATTTCTGCAAGGGGCTCCATGTAAGTGTAGAGGCGTCAATGAATAACAAGGAAAATTGGAGAAGATGCTCCTGCAAAACCTGGGATTTCAGAAACCTTGCTTTTTAAAACAAATGTTAGGTGTGAAATCCAATCAGAAACCCTGTCCAGTTTCTTAAAACAATAGCACTATAGCAGACATTGTCCTCCTACCCTGCTCCGTCCATGAAACCAACTGACCATTTTTGTATTTTCGGTTTTGGAGTGGAACTATAGCTCTCAACTGAGTCTAAACCGGGGAGTGATAATGTGGTAGTTTTGAATAATGTATTTACATCCTAGCTTGTCGCCTCCCAATTCAAATCATTTGATGATTCATTTGGGAGGTTACAAATAAATAAATATTATTGTTCTGTTTGCACATACTCCCATGCAATGATCTGCATTTGGCAAATTGCTCAATTGTAACCTCCCAAAATGAATCAATAGCAGTCTGAATAGAGTCGCAACAAGAATAGAAACATGTAAACTGTCTATTCAATACTGGAATATGAAATCAATATGATCTATTTGTGAACTTGTACATGTCTTAAGGTGGGAATGGGAATTAACCAAAATCACCACTGACATAAACAGATTGAAACTACTGAACAAATATATTAATTTACTACACACGGTTGTTACAATTTTTCAGATGTATTATGAAGTGGATGGAAATTAAAGAAACATGCCCCATATGTCAGCGTAACTGCAGGCATGAAAATGAAAACGGAAATGCCAATGGAGGGGAGAGAACACCATTGCTGACAAATCCTTTAGAGCTGTGAGAGATACAGCGCAGCACAGAGTTTTAAACAGTTTGAATAAAATGTCACAAGGAATGGACTGATGAATCAGCTCAACGGAGTGTGTTTGAATAAACAGTTGCTGACTTTATTACACATTATGCCTGCGGCTGGAAAAGCAAGATTCTTTACCTCAGAGTACAAATGTCTCTGCGGATATTTTATTGAGTAATTAATTGATAATATGCTTCTTGTTTTTATCTTACGATTCATTCAACAGCTTTTATCAAGAGCTTTTGCGTGACTGTGCAAACATTTATTTTTTCCATAATGGGAAGCATCATTTGGCAAAAATAGGCAAAGTGACATAATGTCATGGAAAGTTCCAGTTTGAGTCAGATTTTAATTTTATTCCTGAATGTCAATTTTTTTATTATTTAAATTATTGTAAAAAGTAGATTTACACATATGTAGTGGGGATTTAAAACTGGGGTGTTTTCAACTGTTAGATTTCTCGGCTGTGTTATGTAGTCTTACTCCATCAACTTATGTAAGTGTCAATTGCTTTCTACACTTAGGGAAGAAACTAAATGACAACTTGGCACCGCTACCAGTTTAAGCTTGATGATACCCTTAATCATGGGTGAAGGCAAATCAGCCTACAGTCGAACCTCTTCTTACAGCCAGCCTCACCCAATGGACACTTTTATATTGCAGCCAGGTCACACTTTCTTCCAGAGTAACTACATCTCACATATAATTTCTACCTCCACAATACTGACACTCAGGAGAGCTCCTTTTGTGACCGTATTGAGGAGGTTCAACTGCATTACCGTGTTTATCTTTTGTTAGCTGTAGGTTATGTTACAGTAACTTGTTAACCTGTGTAGATCCGTTCACTCTCCTTAAGATCTTGTTGAGTTGGTCAGTCATTAGGATCTTTAGATTGGACTAACAGTACAAGAACGATTTACAAATTTCAAATCAGTGATCTTTCCAGAGCCCTTGCTCCTCGTGTTAGTTTCAAGTTGAGAGGGTCGCTCATGGGATGAGATGGGTATGTGACGTGAAAATGTGAAGTCTGCAAACTAGAATTGAGAAGTCGCACTCTTACTCAAACTTTAAGTCCCCTGATATTATTACGGCATGGTCTAAACTGTTGATCGAGTACTTGTGTTAGACTGTTTCTTACATTTCGCCGTGTTAGAGCTGAAAAACAGGTTCATTAGGTTATTTACAAGTAGTAGTTTATCCAATGGCGTTTGGTTCACGTGATAAGTTATAAAGCCAATCACAAAGCCATCTACAGCAGCCAATCAGAAAACAGGTGTAATCTGATTGGCCAAGACAACGTAGGCAACAAAATTTGGTGTTGGCTTTGCATCTGTTGGCGGTGAGAGTAGATAGTAATACAATTTATTTTGATTGGCTGGTAAACAAATAAAAGCGTAGAAATAGGCCAATTTAGGGAAAACCAGCGGCCTATCTGTTACGTTTTAGCCAGATATTGTGAATACATTTTACCATAGGCAGCGTTTAATGAATTTCTTTTGTAAATATAAGTCTTACCATGCGTTTCGTTATGACGATGGAACACGGTATTTAATAAACTGAACAGGAGAATCGTAGTACGAAGTGTCAATATCTGTGTGCACGGTCAGTCGCCCGTTAAAGGTGAAAGAAATTTTCGTCAATGCTGTTATTGCTCGTACTGTATCGTAACGACTCTATTGTTTGTTGTTGCTATTTCTAACCAATTAATGAACTTCAGAAGTTTAAAAAAAAAATCGACTGACTCGATCGTCAGATCATGTTTTCTTTCTTTTTTTTTTCAGTTTCACTTTTCACCTGTTCTCATGGTGACACGGGTACTGTAGAGCCCAGGACTCTGTTGCATTATATAGTGTTACAAGTTGAGGCATGTTAATTGATTTCGCCACGAGGTCTTACGATTTGTTAATAGCAGTGGATTTTCTAAATCTGTTTCAAGCTACTTAACTTCTACTACCCCAGGTCAGTATTCTACAGTTTAATAGTAAAACACTCGAGATGTCAATATGCATGGATAGAAGTCTGTTCAATAGAGCGTCAGCCGGGTATAAACGTCATCAAGCCCCATGAATCTGCATAGAACTGTTTGAAATATAGAAAAGTATACCTCATACAGTATAGGGTTGTCTTGAATAATGTTTAAAGTCAGTTGGTTTCGGCGCTAAAGCTGCAGTCAGTAATAATTTACATTAGCTACAAAATAATTTAGGGTTAGCAGGGGACGACGGCCTTATTGAACGCTGTTTCGGAAGAACAGAGTTTTTTCCCTCGAATCAAAGTAAACCGAAGTCGTGAGTTTGGACAAATTTACTGCAGAAAAACTGGTAATAGGTCCGTGCAGTGCAAAAAGTTTTCGGGTACGTTAACGCACCTCACAGGTTACAAAAAACATTCGGGATAAAGCTCGGAATGTTTTGGAAATTCTTCATTATTATACATTACTTTATTATTACTCAGTTCTACTCAAAGAGCGTTCATCAGAGTTCTTCCCCTTATTTTGGTTTTGTTTCAAAGTTTATCGTTCGAAAGAGCTTAAACCTTTACAGCATGATCGTGCTAGCAGGTGAGTACTTAACATTCTACATATTTGCTTTTTAAATTGATCTTGACATAGTACAATATTTTTCATTGGCCGGGCTCTTCCTAATAGTTGACCCAGCTAAAGTAATATTGATACATTTTCAAATTAGAAAACGTGCTTTTTCACAGAAGATTTAAGAGAATCGATCCATTTACAAAAGGAATCTCTTTTTACTGTTCTTTACTGTCCATTCCACTTTTAGGGTACGGGACACAGTTGATACTCTTTCAAATTTACGACCTTTAATTTGCAAGGACCTCTAGACTACCTTCCTGTGTGAGCTTTAAATAACACAGCGGTACCCTTTATATGCAAATACACCGCTATCAGGCGGAAGAGACCACTTGACATGTTTGGTTATGTTTATGTACCTCCATCCCTAAGGCTAGCAAAAATAGTTTTTAAGAACGTTAATCTTCAAGATGGTTATGAGTTCGGTGGGGAAAACGTTTCTTTAGTCAAATTAAAGGCGATTTTATACTTAACAGACGAACTTTGGAGGGATTTTTATCATCCAATCTTGATAATAATGCCGAACAAGCATGCCCGCCGTCATAACGGATTCAGCTTTGATCTCAAGCGACCATCTTACTGAGTTTGATTCATCAGCCCTTAGGCTATATTCACCGCTATATTTCCACAACTCTTAAATGTCTAAGAAACATGTGCAATATTTTAATTTCAGCCCATCTTTATAGTAAGAAGCTTGGCTATCATTTATGCCCTAAAGGAGGCCATTTTATGCTGTACGTTGTAAGGTATTATTAATTGGGTAGTTTTTATCATAAGACAACGAACTTTACAATGCCGGCAACGAACCGTCTTTGATGTAAGCGAAACGTTGTAAAGCGGAGATAATGTGGTACTTGACTAGTGGCCTTGATAATTGCCCGCATCTGACTTTTCGAGTGATGTCCCACGTTTAGTCACAAACTCGGTCATCAAACTTATCTAGAAACATTTGACCAAATCAGTTTCACTTTAATAGCGTTGAAACGAGTCTTCCAAGCCGTCTTCTTGGAACGGACTCAAATCCAAAATGGCTGACGGTCCGGCGTTGAAATTGAAACTGTTTTTTAAAAAAAAATGCCGTAGAAACTACCTCTATTGTTCGTCGTTAGCCAATTAGATATCGAGGACTCTAATCTGTTTGAGCCGAGTTTGCAAAGTACAGCCGAAGGGTTCGATTCTTTTAAACCTTTTGCGGGAATCCGTCACGTGACCCTGACATATGAAGTTAGGAGGTAGCTGTGAAAGAACTCCTGGTAATATCTATTCAATCGGAAAAAGATCGACTGCATGGCTAATCCTAAGACTTGGACATTTTTGCTTCGCATTTCATCCCATCTCGATGAAAATAACTCTTAATTGGTTTTGCGATCAAATCAGTGGGCATGACCAATTTCTTTTCACTGAACCACAGACTGACAAGAAGGCCCTTGTCATAGCTTGATTATCATTGCTATTTTCTGGTATTTTCCTCGACATCTAACGGTGCATTCTAGCTATAACACCGTTAGGATCACACTTAATCAACTTCCTATCTTAAGATCAGACTCTTAACTACGATCTCTTGAAAGTTGTTTTCTAATCATCGTAATCAATCTCGAGCAATGATTGTAGAATCCTTATCATGGCCAGTTTTTATTTGTTTAGTTTGGAATAAGGTTAAGATTCGATGACTGTTTCACTATCATGTGGCGTCTCCACCAGGGACCCTTTTGAAGCACTGCTACTATTCAAAATTCTAAACCTTGCAGTGGTCTTTCTCATGATAGAGCGTTGCCGGGATTTGCATGGGAAAATGCTGTTATAAATCACCCAAAGAGAACGTTTTCCTTTTGTGCCAGTCAGAAGTTGTTGGGGTCGTAATCAAATATCACGACTAAATTATGTTCTGTGTGTTAGAGACGATTGATTCAAAGATGTCTTGGCTTTGGCTACATGTAGTAAAAAGTTGTTATATACTTCCACATTAAGTCTGATTACGACTTCTTTGTTTCGGACACATTCTGCTATCCATAGCCGCACTGAGCAGCTTTGATTATGAAATAAATCCTCAAATCGTAGCTGTCGGTCAAAACATGAGCTTACATAAAAACCGTTTTATCCATCTTCTTTAATCGACAGAATATTTCTTATGAGCCCAGTCAGACCGAAATTGTTATCAGTAATTAACCTACCGTTGCTTATCT